GCAAAGCCCAGGGATTAGTTACTGCACATTCCTTAGTCTCACGGAGGACTCCAAGGTCTGGGTGAATCTACAGGGCATCCTTTGGAAACACGAAAAGAAAACCCCCTGCCAACAGTTAAGTTTTCAATCATTTTAATGTGATCACTGCAATTTGACCACAGCCTCAGAAAGGAAAGTCACGCAAATTATCTGTGCTGAGGATCTAAGTCAATCTACATAGTTCTTGTTGATTGATGGTTATTCAAGTTAAGACCTTCTGACCATTGGTGATGTTTTTCAGTTGAAAGGCAGAATCGAAAGTGTTAGTCATACTGGTGCAAACCAGGAATGCTTCTTCTGGGGTTAAAGCTGCGACACCTGATCTACTTAAAAGAAAACAGAATTGTACATGCACACATGTGCACACAGGGACCGAGCATGCAAATACACCAGGAACCACCTACAGCTTCACAGCAAAAAACACATCATGGCAATAACAGAGCTTGGCCTGTTATTCAGAAGGCTACTTAACAAGGAAGGGAGGAAAAACCACACAAATATCAAAAACTCAGAATACTGATTTTTCCAATATTTGAAAAGAAAATAGGGAAAAGCTTTTAAAATTACATTGTGTTGAAAAACCCTGATTTTGGGGTAACAAAGCAAAAGGTGAAGGCAAATTTTCCAAAGTATTGTAAAATTTATTGTATAAGTATTGCAGCTTTTAGAATGACATATAATTGCCACTATCGGTTACCGTTAACACAATAAGCATTTACAACAGATTTTTGTAAATTGGCATCAGAGTACATATTCATACTAAACCAGCAAAATATAGGTAAGTACTGCATTGCATGTGCTCTCAATAGTTTACATAAGTTTAAACTTGAACAGAATTGGGGATACAGGACTGCCTATAACAAACTCCAAAGCCAAAGCAATGCAACTGGAAGTTTAAGAAAATATTAATACAATGAAATGTGTCTATAAGGCAGGCAAATTAGGACTTTATTGTTGTCCTTCATGAGCTTCTATAGTACAGCAAAAATTTGAAATGCGGTTTCTGGAAAACTTTTTGCTTTTTTGTAGCTTTGTGTTGTATATAGAAAATCTCTGAGCGATACAGAGACAGAAGAGATTAAAAATGCATTCTGTTCTGCCTGGCACTATTAATAGTACACATCTGGATTTAGTCTTTTCCCGATCCTTAGTAAAAATGTTGGGCTTTTATTTCTTTAATTTTCAAGATAGCAGTTAGTGCAATTTTATAGTTCAAAACACATACAAAAGGGTGATTCTCCAGAAAGCAATTGGATTTGCTTATACCCCCACTTAAGATAGAATTAATTTTGTAACACTTATGGAAACAACACACTAGATTAGTAAAGCTGAATCTTCAAACTGGTGAAATCAAGGATTCTGAAGGGAACGTAAGTTGTACCAGTGTCAATCCCAAACGAAACCCATCCTGATTGACAAAACCACAGTCCCATTCCAGGCCATTAAGATTTGGGGGCAATTTAAGGATGCCGTTTGCCATACTGCAAGTTAAGAAACTCTGTGGGATTAACAACCCCTTTTAAAGCTAACGCGACTCTTAAAACTTTGAGCAAAAAGGCAGGCTAGGGCAAGAGGTTGCTTGCTAAGCATTAGTAATGCCTTGTTTCTTCATTCTTAAGGGGCCTGAATCTCTCTGCTGGCAGCTGCAAGACGCCAGAGACTTCTCTGGAGCAGGACTGTGGTCCAGCTTCTAGCACAGTTCTCTCCTGAGCTGCATAAAGACCAGAAAGAAATGAATAGAAACACCTGCAAGGGTGTGCAAAGAAAGTTGTCTGCCTTGGTGGCAATACGGGACATGGGAATCAGGAAGAAATGGACCCAGAGGAAAAAAAGTGACATTAAATAGTAATAATAATAATGACGACAACAACAACAACAATAATAATAAAAAAGAATAGACCATTATTTCTAAACACCCATTCAGAACTTGAGTTGATCTGGGCCCCAGATCTGGTATCTGCACTTGAAATACACGGTTCTCGGGACTGCAAAGCAGAGAGATGGACAAAAGAAAGACAAAAGATGACAACTTGCCCCTGTTGAGGTGGACTTGAATTGCACCCGCTGTCTGGGACCCAGGGCTCCCCCCACCAAGGCTGCAGCCACTCCCCAGGGACCTGCACAAGCAGCAGGGAAGGTGGCAGCTTGGTTTTCGTTTGTGCATGGCATGGATTGAAAGGCATCATTTGCAATAGAAAGTTGGTGTTGATGAGCCACCCCATTTCACGCTCATTAAATTCACCTAGAATTTACTAGGTGAATTTACTAGAGAAAGAGGTAAATGAAACTGGACCCAGAAACTCAACAAACTGGTCACTTCACTGCAGATGCTTGGGGTTATGTCTGAGAAATAAAACCTCACACTGGGAAGAGATTGAGGAGAAAAAAAAATAGGAAAAAAACCCAGAGAATCGGTTGAAATTTTGAGGACTTCAAACCATGAGAGCCAGGTTTAATGGCACTGCATTTTTAGACACTCTCCCACTACCCCTCTGTGCCTTTACAGACCCTACCCACCTCCTGACCTCTCTATGGGGTTTGGTGGCCAGGTAATGCCATATGACAAGACAATCTTGTTACTTAACAACCTCCAGTCCCCGCAACACCTCCTTATTCACTGCTCAGTTTTAAACATGATGCATATATCCACCCAAAACCTGCTGAGGTAACCAGTGGTGGTTTTTTTTTTGTAGCAAACAAACCAGTTGGGATCACAGAACACCCACCACCATCTCTAGCCCCCAAAAAATCCCAGCCCCAACACCACCATTCACACATCTTGACTCAAGAGGGCAGTAGATATTATATTTCTGTTTCTCTTTTGGTTGGTATCTCATTTACAATATCCACCACAGTTTTCTACCCCCCACCTCCCTCTCCCCAGTAGGACAATGCACATCAATGAGCTGGAATTCCCCCAGGAACAGTGGGAGACAGCATAGAGGGAGCCGCCAGCAGGGGCTCATTGGGATGCTTCGGGGAGTGCTGCTGGGAAAGGGAGGACTGGAAAACTGAATGCAAGGTCCAAAGGAGCAAGAGACCAGACACTGGTTACTTGTGATGCTAACGATGACTTTGTTTTTCCCCTCTCCACAAAGGGAGGGTTACTGTTTCTTTAATAAGGCACTAAATAGACATGTTACATAAAGGAAAGATACATTTTAAAAACTCTTATAAATTCAGTTTTGTACCTTTCATGACAAACTAGATTTGTTCTGTTGCATTACTTTGTTTTTTGTGGCTTTTTTTTTTAGGTCATTAAAATTTAAGTTACATGACTGTAAAGCTATGAAGATTTCAAGAGCTATGGAAAAACATTTTGAAATATTGAGAAGCTACTGGACTATTTCTAGGCAAAATTAAAAAAAAAATCAAACTTCAAGTTCAGCTATTCAGTATCATCTTTAAAATATATATTAATATTGTTCAAATTGTCAGAACTTCAAAACCGCTCTCATGGTGGGTTTTTTTCAAGTAATAGAAAAGTTGCTTAAAAATAAGTTATTGCCTTTATATCTTTCATTTATGTCACTCTACTAGATAGCATCCTGCAGAAAATTAAACCACTCCTCCTTGTAAAATCATTGCTCTCTGTGGTTATTTTACCAACCCTTCATCACGCTCGGTAAGATGCTCTCCCAGCCAGGGCAGACAGGACCCAGAACCGGTTCTTTCCCTTTTGCTTTCTCCCACACTCAGGTTCCTCACTTGCTCACTCTGTCACATACAAATTCACTGTGAGGGTAAGACACCTACCAGACACCTGCATAATATAAAAATGTAAACAATAGCATAGTAAGACAAAATGCTTCCGACACCAAGATAAATTAAAGTCACAGAATGCCCGGCGGGCGGGAGGGCAGGTGGGACCGTGCTGCCATGGATGAGAACATTTTTAGAAGAAGTAAAGGGGGTTTACTTCTAAAGCATTAAGCGTATTTCTTTAGACTTTAATTAATACATCACAGGAGCAGATTCATTTCCACCTACTGTATCCGATGCCTCTTTAGATAGGATAAGAAAGTAAAAAATAGCAATGATCAGAGGCAGCCCTGGGGATGGTGGAGCTGTGAGACATGGCTGCGCCCATTTATCCCAAATAAATGTTTGGGAGGTTAATACAAAATGGAACTTACTTTCACCACCACCACACTTTTCAGCTCATACTTTACATGAGATATTTTAACCCCAGCTGAAAGGCAGCCAGTGGGTACATTACCATTTACTCAGATGAATTTCCATAATCGCTGCTTAACTCCAAAATAGGGCCCTTCAGTTGAACAGCAAAAGAAATGAACCAAAAACCACTTTGTTCCTTCAGACACAGAAGTTTATTCTCAATCCCACCACCCCCCTCCAAAAAGTTAGAGGTTGTCCAGAAAAAAAAAAACAAAAAAAAAAAACAGCAAAAGTTGGCTCATAGAAATTTCCTGAACTGGAACACCCAACAGGATTATTTTTAGTTCAGGTTTTAACATTTTATTCCCCCAAAAAATTAAGGGTTGCCAAAAAAAAAAAAAAAAAAAAAAAAAAAAATCAAGTCATTTTTGTCTGCTTCAGCCTTTACGGACTCTCAGAAGCAGGGAGTTTTCATTTTACCTTTTTACTCCTACAATCCTACCGGATGACATACAAATACACACCAACTCCTCTTCCTTTGTAGGGAATGTATAAAGCCGTGACTGTCAGCAACCACACGCAAGGACTCTGGAAATTAAGGAATTGCATAAGATGCAGTCTCGCTCACCGCTCCTCCCAGGGCTGGCATCTCCACTTCAGGATTTTTCCACCCCCTTCCAGCTACTTTGTTCTTCACTTCAACATATGTCCCTTAACAGGCTCATGGTAGACATGATAGAGGCTTTGACCAACACAAGCACTGACATATTTATATTAAAAAATAGTGCAAAATTTCAACATTTATATAAATAACTCTAAACCCCTGCTTTTGATTTTTTTTTGTTGTTTTGGTTTTTTTTTTTTACAAGGTAATACACACTTTTTGAGTTGGCACTCAAAAAAATTGCCATTTTTCTTCTAGTTCAGAAAACAACTTTTTTTTTGAATAGGCCTCTTCTAATACAAAAATACTCCTGCTCCTTACACATACACTTTCTCTTATTTTTCATATATATTTATATATTTATATTGCAGATCTTTAAACAAAATGTTTTTGTGCAAATATTTTGTCTTTAAAGATAAGTGAAATAAACAAAAAAAGCATTCACACAGCTCAACTAGAAACAAACAAACAAAAAAATGGACTACAGTTGCGTTTGTTGTTTTTTTCCTTTTTAAATGTCTAGACAGAGCTCAATGAAGAAATGCTTTTGCAAGCTTGGTAGGCTTGTGCATTCAGACCAGACATAACAAGTAAATATTTATACATGGAGAGATGGGGAAGGGCTATTCTTTTTCCTTTGCTCATCTTCCTCAACTCACTCACTCTCTCCTTTTTCTTTTACCAAGAAGTGCAGTGTTGCGTTTACTTTCTTGTTTATTTCTTTTTTTTTTCCTTTTTCCTTTATTTTTTTTTTTTTTAAAAAGGGTGCCCTTTTTGTTTCTCTTTCTCTTTGTTCCAGGCAGTTGTGCTCTCAAGGCCATTGATTTGTGAGTGATGGAGTCTGCTGCCCTCCAAGAGGGAGGGCATCCCGTTGTTGTTCTGCTGGTGCTGGTAAAACGTTGACCCAGGGTAGTGCCCTATCACCTCGCTGTATGTCGGCGGCGGTCCCTCCATCCTACCATTGCTGCCATAGCAGGTGGCACTGATCCCAGAGTTACTGCTGGGGGGGCATGGTCCTCCATACACAGAGTTATCTATCAAGTCACTGTCGAAGATGGTTCTGTTGGGGGGGGCCCGGACTGACTCCCTGTTGAGCTCCATCTGCTGCTCGGGGTCCCTCAGCTGCAGCGTGCAGGGTCCTTGGTACGGGGGGGGCTCCTCGCCGTCTGACAGTGAGATGGTGGGTGGCAAGTCGATCTCGTGCTGCATGTAGGGGTAGGTGGGCTGAAACCTGTTGAAGCGGTCCCTCTGCAGGAAGGATGGCACTGCCAGGCGGTCGCTGGGTCTCGGGGTGTAGATCTGCTGCTGGAAGGTAGAAGAGGAGAGAAGTGTGAGATGCTGCAGCCCAGCAGAGTGGGAGAAGCACCTGTACCCGCATCGCCCTCACCTCTGCTATTCCAGTCCCCGACACGGTGCTCTCTGAAGGCCACAGGCTCCCCTCCTGCGTGGGAAAGGAGAAGAGAGGGCAGATTGAGTTCTACAGCAGCGGGGGCTCCACTCCTGCAAACTGCTGGTGCCTGTTTCACCCACACCTGAGCCGGGGTAAAACGCTGCTGCCAATGGTCAACACGTCCCTGTCCCGGCAGCAGCAGCTCAGGGCACGTAGCCTCCTCAGCTGACAGCTCACTCTAGTGGGGATATCACATGGAGATATGCTAAGGATATTAGCATATTACCACTGAAAACACCACTTCTAATTAAAATTTTCCTCAATTTTCATCTCCATTTCTATTTAATGGATCGCTTGCAGAATGAATGATGAGAATGACACTAGCAAACAACACTCTCGCATTTGCAGACTTCCCCCCCCCGCCCACACACACCCAGCATGTTGCTCTCCCTGGTTCAAACATACCAGAGAAGTATTTTTCAATTTGTGATCCACGAGCCGTGGGTGATTCACAAGACATCAAAAAATGCTCCGCAAAATAACAACAAGATTTTTAACATAAAAAAAAAGAAAAACAAAAAAAAAACCTCACACCCACATTCTGATGCACACAATCAAGGCAAAATAAAGATAAGTGAATAACCAAATGTTAAGCCTGATTTTGATTTGGCTAAAAAAAAAAAAATAGAAATCTGTAGCAACAGGATGGTTCTAGAGTATTTTTCCCCCAAAAGGATAAGTGATCTTTGATTAAACTGAGAACTAAACTTTGATTAGATTGAGGAACTGTGGTCTAGAGGCTTTCTTACACTGCAAGCATCACATCACCCTGATCCTGCAATCCAAACCCAGGTGCCAACAACCCCAGGCATGAGAAAGCCACAAGCCAGTTTCCCCCAAAACATGAGGTTAGTTTACAATTCATGATCAAAACAAAGGTTCTTCCCATTTGCTGGTGATACTCTGAGCCTACACGGTTCCCCCCAGACACTTTAGCCTTAAGAACTAAAATATTTAAATATCACTGATATTCACATATGGCAACATCCCTCTGGCAGGCAGGGCCAGAGGAAAACAAGCCAGAAGGCTCATAATTCTAACCTGGAATAGTTGGCATGTCTGAGTTCCTTGCAGGTTAGTATCCAGTTCTGGCACTAGCAAGTCAGGCATAGGCAGAAGTATTTACCATCAGTGTAAAAAAAAAATATGCCAAAGGTGTTTCTTTTTCCCCTTTTTCCCTTTAATGTGTTCCATCCAAAGGCCATTGTGGGGCCCAGCCTCTGCAGCAGGGCTCTCAGGTGAGAAAAGCACAAGCTTTCCTAGTATGAAAATACCTATTTCTATAGCAACAGCAGTGCCGGTCCAGACAGCCCGTGCCCTGGTGAAAGCCTGTAAAAAGCTGCAGTGGTACCATAGCACCAGAGACACCTTCGCTGATAAAGTCAGGAGGGATTTTGCCTGTCTGGTGCTCCTGGACCTCCTCCAGCTGTGAAGCACATCTGGCCTCATACCAGGCTGCAGCATGCGAGGCCAATGCTGCTGCAGACTTTTGTGGCCATCCTGGTAAGCAGCTGAACAGCATCTCTGCTCCCCCTAGATGCACCTCGGAGAGCACACAAACCAGGGGTGCCTCTGTGGGCAGAGCCACCCATTAGATCCTCCCCTTCCCCTTTTCTTCTTTATTTTCCCCAACTTTGGAATATATTTTCTCTTGTGGCATCACATGTAGTATTAGATATGGAGAGAATCCTATTGGCTTCCTGTTTTTGAAGCTCAGCTCTGCACATAAACCTCAAGACAGTCCTCTTGCCAGTGATTTATATGGAAATGAGATGGGCCAGAACCTCTGCTCCAAGGAGATGCTAAATGCTACAGCTGATGTACGGGCTGTTTGAGTCACATGCTGCATAGCCCTTCCTGAGCAATGTAACACCATGTTTTATACAGACCTTGAGACTTCACACTGCAACTGTTTACACAGGCATCAACTGTTTAGTCTGGTCCATTTTACATGTATTTCTTGCCTGCAGGGATAGTCTTACAGACAAATTCCCCCAGCAGCCAAAAGACCCAAGAGGAACTGCATCTGCCACAGATCAAATCCTTGCCTTTAACCCCCTGCTTCGCCACGGTGCTGATACCAAGGGTACCCTTCATCCCTTCACCTCATCCCAAAGGACACTGAAGCAGCAGGCAAGAGCAGAAAGCACTCAGAAAATCATGTTTACTGTGCCATGCCCCCGTGGCAGACTTCCTGAGCAGCGAGTACCCCGCTGCCTTCTGCTAGATGTTTTATATTTGACTTGGCAGTGGGCAGTGCCACAGCAATATCCCATCTGCTTCCCCTCTCCTGGGAGCGATGCCAGCCAGCTCCTGCGAGGGCGGACGCAGCCCGGCACTCCCTGGGGCGCAGAGCATCGCCAAGCTCAGCTGGGGCTGCCCGCCATGGCAGGCATTGGAGAGGGCACCCACACACCCCTACCCAAGCTGCTGCACCCAAAACACCCCCTCACCCAAAGCCTGCACCTAATATCCCACCTAGGCATTCAGAGGAAAGGCTCTGGCTCACACATTAACTCATCTGTTTGTACAGATGAGGTCCAGGAACAATGCTCCAGGCAAGAAGCAGATGCCAGAGTAGCAAACCAGTAGAAACACCACTAAAATGGGACCTGCAGAGACATAAGGAAGTTCAACCAGGCCACTTGCAAGGTCCTGCATGTGGGTCAGGTCCATTCCAAGCACAAATCCAGGCTGGGCAGAGAATGTATTGAGAGGTGCCCTGAAGGGAAGGATTTGGGGGTGCTGGTGGATAAGAAGCTCAATGTGAGCTGGCAATGAGTACTGGCAGCCCAGAAAGCCCCCTGTCATCCTGGGCTGCATCAAAAGAAGCGTGGCCAGCGGGGTGGGGTGGGGGGGGCAATCTGCCCCTCTGCTCCACTCCCGGGAGGTGCCTCCCCCCGCCCCCCACCATCACTGCCTCCAGTTCTGGGGCCACCAACATCAGAAGGGCATAGACTTGTCAGAGCAGGGCCAGAGGAGGCCAAAGACAACCAGGGGGCTCAGGGCTCTCCTCGCTCATCTCTGATTTTCAGAATACTTAGGACTTGAATTCATCTCAATGATGGCTGAGTCTAGAAAGCTATTGTCTTCTGAAATGAAAGCTGAGATTCTGGTGTCTGATGAGCAATATAGCTATAAAAGCCTCCACAAGTATTCCAGGACTCACTGCAGAACCTAAAATTACTTTTTAATTTCTTTTTAGAGATCAATAATCAACTTCCATAGACTGCTTGTTTTAGTAATGTCAGAAAACTTTCTCTGTAAAGCCGCATGGTGCAGATGAAGTCTTTGAGCCTTCAGGAGGACTTGTATTTTCCATTTTGGGGCACAAAGATATGCTTGGAAATTGCATTTAAGCCACTTTGTCTTAGGGGAGTCAGATATCAGTGTTCCAAAGGTGCAGGAATAATGCCATTCTTATTGCAACAAAGTTTTTAGTAGCATTTCTTAAATATTCTAAGTTCTGGAAAAATAAAACTACTTGCTATAAAGAGACAGTTTAAGCACAGCAAGAATGGTGATGGAAAAAACACATGATGTAATACAAAAATTCCGTGCTAGCAAAAACTGCATTAAAAAAAACCCCAACCTTCAGGGAAATTAATTTCTCCTGCAGTTGTAATTTTTGATCTACAACAACAAAAAAGAACAACTCCGGGAGACCTAGCAGTATCCTAACCATAGGATGAACTACTTTAATATTTCAAAATATGAAAAGTGTGTAGGCAGCTCTGGTGCCTGTCTGCAGCCACAACAGCAAAATGAAGTTTGGGATTTAGAAAGCCCAACACCAGTTCAGCGCAAGTTTAATGGATTACATAAACCTGTACCCAGCTCAGCGCAGCCTCTGGCTGCCTTCAGCACTTGCCCATCTGGTTGAACACGGGATTGCATGCCCCCAGCACCCGGATCCTGTGGCACAGCACCGATGAATGGCCATGAGCTAAGCTCACCCTGTACCCTCCGGGGATGTGCTCCACAGCCCACAAAACACGATGTGGTTTAATCAAGCTTGGGGTTTGCACAGCTCCCCTTCCCATGGGGCGGCCTCCTCACTGCAACACCAAGCATCAGAAAGGGACCTTCCTCTGCTGTGCATGATGTGTGACAAAAAGCACCCACAGAGCAGAGGGACAGCCCACACCTGGGCATCTGCTGTCTGGACAGCCTTCAACAGCCCTGTACCAAAGACTTACTGAACAAAAGATGTCAGATACCACTCTCAAAAAAAAAAAAAAAAAAAAAGAGAAAAGAAAAAAATAGAAGAAAAAAATGGAAAAAAGGAAGCAATCCCAGTACTTGATCTTTTTTGAAGCAAGCATGGATTTGACACAAGAGAGCACAGTCCCACACCGACCACAAGCCAGCCCTGGTGTGCTCAGACAGCCCTGGAATCCAGCAGAGGAGAAAGTGCAAAGCAGTGACCTTGAGAAAGCCCTACCATTTAAAGAGCTTTAAGAACCTTTAGGGGGAACGCTGAAAAAAGAAGTGTCAGTACAAGATACCCCTGCACTGAAGACAGAGCCATGTAGGCAGTGGTGAATAGCATGTGTTCACCCTCCAAGAAAATGTGAAATCTTTCCTCTATAGGTTCTTGTATGTCTTTCTGAGCTGCTGCATTTGAGCAAATGGCATGAACCAACACCTGCCTTGAGGCTGGAGAGGCTGCCCCTCGAGTCCCCATCAGAGGCACGATTAACATGTTTCTGCTATGGCTTTTATGAAGCAGGAAGCCTGGGTTACACAGGAAACCCCTTGAGCATCTTCTTGGAGATATTTCTGCTTATCTGGCTATACAAGGGTTTTCTGACCTCCTCCACCACAGCAAGAGCAGCACCACTGGTGAAGTCCGGAGAAAGTCTTTCAGGATTTCCTATTCTTCTCAAGGCAGGCAGTTCAGTTTTTATACAGTTGCTTGAGACTCTCCAACTGGAGCCACCAAAGGACTCAATAGTTTGGAGCTGTTAAGGGCAAGGCATACGCACCCCAATCAGCTGAGGGTACATGGTGGATTCAGGAAGAGGGCACACCAAGAACAGCCTCATGCAATTACTTCACTAATGTAAAGTCTGAATTGCAAAGTTCAGGGAAAAGGCAGAGGCTATGGCTCTCCATATATTACAACATACAGCACCCTAAAGAGCCAGAGGCATCCCTAAAAGGGCACCCTCCCCAGTAACAGAGACAGAAGACAATGCCCAGACCCAACCTGGAGGGTGTCTCTTCATGCACTGCCAAGTGGCACATGAGCAAACTCAACACAAACAAATACCTTCGGCTCTAACATTTCCCCAGTGTCACATCATTTGGCAAACAGCACAGGACGACGTGGGTTGAAAGAGCAGGGGGTGACTTACCGATGAGAGGTTCTCGTCTCTTCTCCTCCCCTGGCTGTGCCGGCTGATAAAGGATCGTGCAGAGAGTTTGTAGTGGTTCAGCAGACACGTGATCACCACCACCATCACCATCATCACCACCACGATTATGATTATCTGTACAAACTCCAACTCCGCTGCAAGAGAGAGACAGACTTTAAGCCACCAGAAGAAGTATAGTATAATTGAGGTCAAGAAGGACTAATGTGGCTGAGATACCAAGGACACCACTGCATCCTTCCCCAATAAAGCTCTCACACATGCCTACCTCGGCTCTGCATGCTTTGAGCCCAGCTACTTAATTAAAAACTCAGTAATTCACCTTTTCAGTGCCACGGAAGAGTCTCCAGGAGGTATCTTTAAAGACAATCTACAGAGCAGAGTGTTTTCAAGCTACAACGCAGACAAGACGTTCCAAAGCCCTCCCAGTTGCAGTGTGCTGGATGTCCCCACTGCTGGGTACAAAACCAGCAGCATCTCAGTGCCTTACGTGCCTTGCTTGGGGCCGTGAAGCCATGAACCAGCATAATTCATCCTAACAAAACAATTTAGCTAAATGCAAGCTAAATTTCTGCAATTCTTTCCCATCACCACCACTCTTTCCTTCAGGAAGGACCAGATTGAAGTCCTCCTTGGCACAGCCTCACACCAGGCACGCATTGTCCCCTCTTTCATGGCAGTGGGACAGTGGCACGGGGAACTCATGCACAGCAGGCACTGGTGCTGGCAGCCCCCTCTCCCTGCACCAGCTCACCCATGACAGGGCACAGGCAGGGAGACCTTCTCTTCGGCGAGATGCCGGATGGGCACGACACGGCGACTCATGGGGCCCACGTACTGGAGCCCCAGACATCCCTCAGTGCGGGGCTCAGCCAGCTTGAGTGGCTTATACTGGCATAAAGGAAAACGGCCAAAAATCCTCCAAACAAGCAGCAGCAAACAACAGACTATCCGGTTAACTCCAGAGACACTTGGCAGAAGGCAGTAAGAAGCCACTCCTAAAATTTCCTAAGGAAGTAACTCCTCACACCTCCCTGAGACTAAGGAAAATCAAGTACTGGAGGCAAATGTAGCGCTGGGATCATTATTTCCATGCATTTGGCACCCAGAGCAGATGCCATCCCCAAACCGCTTGGTCACTCCTACCAAGCCCCTTGTGCCAGCAGCACCCAGGGCTCACTATGCCTAGGACAGGGCAGCAGCAACTCCAGTGCTGGTCATAAAGGAGGGGCCAGACCAGCAAAATTCAATAGTTCTGGGGATTTAAACTGTGTCTGCTTCTCAATAGGGACAGCTATAAAATCCAGTTTTGGAAAGCTGTGTCCTAGGCCATCATGGATGCTGCCATCTATATTTTATCTATACAGACAGACACACACACACCTATGTAGATACATAGGAAGACCCATCATGCCTCGAAGGGCAGCATCACACCATTTGTACCAGCTGGGGTGGCTTCCGCAAAGTCAGGAAAATATAATTTTTTTTATTTTTTCTTAATTATAGAAAGTTTTCTCCTGGCAGGTGGCATTTAAGTACCAGTAAAAGCAAATAAATGTCAAGAAAACAGCTCAGGTGGTAAGTGTTACCAGTTACCTTGGAGCTCATTCTGCTAAACAGCAGCTATTTCTGCCATTGCCCAAAATGCTTAACCAGCTCTGCCCACCACCTTCAAAAAGCAGAATTATGCCTTGAAAGCAGGAGACTTATCTATCACTTCAAGATAGACATGAGTGACCTGGAGCCCATATACTTACAGCACCCCTACACTGAAAGACTGCACATGGGATGGGAAGGGAGGGATTAAAAGCCAAACACTGCAAAGGAGTTTTGCCTTAGAAATGCCTTTTAGCTAGAGGCACCTTCTTAAAAGAGGAGCTCTGGGTCTTTCACAGCAACCCCAGCAAGGTACTCGAATGCCACTGTGAGGGGAAGAGCCTGGTAAAACACACATTCCCAACAATTTACTGTACAGCCCTGAAGCAGTGTCACAGCGGAACAACAGTCAACCGGGGCCAAGAGCTGCCATATTGCCCTGTACTGGAGTAATGGGCTGAAACAGGAGCTCATTTCTTCTGAACATAATTAATATTAACCAGATGCACAAACACACCAAAACTAAAAGGGCTGGGAAAAGAGAGGATGATGCAGAACCATTAAAGAAAAAAAAAGACACAATGTTGCTTCCCACGTTGTCCCAGCTATGTAGGAAAGTGTCTCCAATCAGCCAAAGGCACGTCCTAGTGCCAGCTGCACCCAAGGGCACCAAGAGCATCCCACCAACCTCCAGTCCCCGCTGGTGGGGTGAAGCCCCACACCCTAGCCAGGCACAGGATGCCCCCCAGATCTTTGGGTCCCCCATGAAGAGTCAGACCCCAGGGGGGCACTGACCAGAGCCCCTCTGCCTCACCTACACGTGAGCAGCAGCGCCCAAAGCCTGGGGAGCAGTCACCCAGCTTGGGTGCAGAGCCCACATTTTGCAGATTTTATTACAGAAAAGAAAAAACAACCAAGGCTTTTAGGAAGATGAGTCAATTCAGCCTCAAAATGCAGCATGTGCTTTGGCCACAGTAAGAAAACAAGAAAAAATATGAATCACGGAATTGTCAGAGTTGAAAGGGACCTCAAGAGATCATCTGGTCCAACTCCCCTGCTAAAGCAGGAATGCCTAGAGCACGTTACTCAGGACTGCATCCAGGCGGCTCTTGAAGATCTCCAGAGAAGGGGACTCCACGACCTCCCTGGGCAGCCTGTTCCAGTGCTCCATCACCCTCACTGGAAAGAAGTTTTTTCTCATATTTGAATAGAACTTTCTATGTTCCAGCTTGAGCCCGTTGCCCCTTGTCCTATCGCTGGAAACCACTGAAAAGAGTCCGGCTCCAACATCCTTCAACCCACCCTTTAGATACTTATAAACATAAATAAGGTCTCCCCTCAGTCTTCGCTTGTCCAGGCTAAAGAGTCCCACCTCCTTGAGCCTTTCCTCGTAAGGGAGGTGCTTCAATCCCTTAATCATCTTTGTTGCCCTACGCTGGACTCTCTCTAGTAGTTCCCTGTCCCTCTTGAACTGGGGGGCCCAGAACTGGATGCAGTATTCCAGTTGTGGCCTCACCAGTGCAGAGTAGAGAGGGATGAGACCAGTGATGGAAAACTTCCTTTTCTGAGAGGAAAAAGAGCTTATATTTCTGAAGAAAAACAAGACCAAGGTAGTGGTAAAGGAAAGTTCCTTTCCTAGGATGAGAGGTCCTTTAAATGAACCAAACCTTGCTAAACTGGTCACAGTACTTTGGTGACATAGGTGAAGTTTTGATAATCAGGAAGCACTGCCCTAAATGCTTCCCAGGAAGAAACAGATACAAGACATGTCATTTACAAACGATGTAAGCCAAGCTTCCTGCACACACATACAAACACGTAATGACCAGAGCCTGAAGCAGAAGAAAGGGTGGGAATTCACTCAGAATCTGAGACAACATACCCGCATCTCCTCCATCCCCATCCAGCCTGGAATGCTGTTTCTTCTGGCTCTGGGACTCCTGCAACCGGGGTATTACAAAACAGTTGCTAAGAGGTGCAATAGCAAGGCCCAGTGTGAATACCAGGAGGAAGGGGATGCTGCCTTCCCAGCAGAGATATTCCTCCTGCCTCATCTCTCCCTCAATGCTCTCCTGGAGCTGCTGGTCGGGACAGGCTGGACCCCACAGGGCTGGACCAGGAGGTGCAGGCAGTGTTCAGCCATGCATCAGGCCTTGCTCTTCAACCTCTACACTGGGCTATTTCTGTGTGGAATATAGTCTACAGCAATCACACTGGTGTTATCAATAGAAGAGTGATTTTAATACCTTGCTTTGTGGGAGGAGAGAGAACAATTAAGCTGCAAATTAACATTCTGTAAATGTGTTTGGTGAAACTTCTCTGAATGATTAAACCCTGATCAGCTCCCCCTGTTTGGACTTTGGCCTTTTCACGCCAATGGCCTTGCTCTTCTCTGATATCCTTCGATAGCATAGGGAAGCAACAGCAGAGTCGCTGTAGCAGAGCACACCTATCCCTGTCCTGCAACACAGACAAGGGCTTCAAGGCTTGAGTATCGTATAGGAGAAATGTATCTGCCCCCATGTCTTTGGTGGTGCTGCTGCTGAAATTAGTTTCTTCCCAGGGCTGTACGTTGTTATGGTTTGAGAAACCCACAGTTTATTGCCATTAGACAATTATTCTATCAAACGATGACCCCTCCCCGCCTGGAAAGCAGAATCAGGGAAAAAAATCCAAGGAAACCCAAGGACTGAAATACAAACAGATTTTACACAGTAAGACTAGATAACATTAATAACACTAAAGAACCAATATTGATCCCAATGCCAATCTAAAATACACAAGGGCCATACTCAGCCCATTCTATCACAGGAAGCTGTGCACTCCCAGCAGGGACAGCCAATGTGGGACACTGTGAGTGCTGTGGCTTTGGAAGGAAGAGCAGGGCTCCGACCCCAGAGCAAGGAGTTCTCAGGACTGCAGCCATTAAGGGAGAGACAACTTTTTGCAGCAAGCTTTGTAATTTATATTGAATGTGATGTTCATGGTATGGAATAAACTTGTTGGCAGCTTGAGTGAAGTGCCCAGGTCTCGCTCCTCCTCATTCCTGTACTTGGCTAAACTTGTAAACAGCGAGACCTTGAATCCCACATAGCCTGGTTGGCTATAAAGTAAATATTTTCATGATTTCAGACACTAGAGTCTTCTAAAAGTGCAGCTTTCCCAAGCATTAGAAGATAACCAGGATATATGTACACACGAGGAGGCCAAGCCCAGCAGAAGCCTCTTCTTGAGGGGGGAACAGAGCACATGGTGCCCTAGTCCTGCTTCACCCTGAGCCAGGACCATGAGGAGCAGCACAGCCTTGCAGTGCCTAGGAGATAAAGGTATCAGGTACCTTGGAATGAACTTTACTCCCAAGAACACTCATGTAGCCAGATCTGGCCTTTGGGGGGCTGGGGAGAGGAGGGAAGGAGAAAAAAAGAGAGAAAAAAAAAAAATCAAACCCAAACAAAACACTCAATTTGTGCTTTTAAGAGATTCATACCCACTCGAGGTGCCAAAGTTTTAGTCAACTCTCCCTCTATTTTAACTTGTCTTC